AGTTATTTAATCCCTAAATTATTAAATCCAAGATTTATTTAGTCCCAGAGTTATTTAGTCCCAGAGTTATTTAATCCCAGAGTTATTTAATCCCAGAGTTATTTAATCCCAGAGTTATTTAGTCCCAGAGTTATTTAGTCCCAGAGTTATTTAATCCCAGAGTTATTTAATCACAGTTATTTAATCACAGAGAGATTTATTCCCAGTTATTTAGTCCCAGTTTTTAGTTGTTTCCAGTTGTTATTTAGCTGTTTACAGTTGTTGTTTTTTAGCTGTTTACAGTTGTTGTTTTTTAGCTGTTTACAGTTGTTATTTAGCTGTTTACAGTTGTTATTTAGCTGTTTACAGTTGTTTTTTAGCTGTTTTCAGTTCTTGTTTTTTAGCTGTTTTCAGTTGTTTTTTAGCTGTTCAGTTGTTATTTAGCTGTTTTCAGTTGTTATTTAGCTGTTTACAGTTGTTGTTTTTTAGCTGTTTACAGTTGTTGTTTTTTAGCTGTTTACAGTTGTTGTTATTTAGCTGTTTACAGTTGTTATTTAGCTGTTTACAGTTGTTGTTATTTAGCTGTTTACAGTTGTTGTTATTTAGCTGTTTTCAGTTGTTATTCAGGCTTTTTGAGCTGCTGTTTCTGTTTAATATTGCAGATAAAACCTGATTCTTCAGCTGATTTTAAACCAGCTCACTCACTGTTTCAGCTGTTTGAAGCATCAGCTAAAAGCAGATAAAGTTCTGATCCTGTAAAACACGGAACGATTCAAAGATYAATTCTACATTTAGTCAAAGAACAGAACCTTCAAAGCTTTAATCCGCTCCGGTTCTGGTTTCGTATCGAAAAAGAACCAACCTGTTAGTTTCCTCAGCTCGCAGCAAATCACCTGAAAAGGTTCTGGAATCAAACCACGCAAGGAGCGGATGTGTTACAGTGTTTGTAGACCGGGTGGAACCTTCTCTTCAGCTTTTAGTTCCGCCTTCAGCCGATCAGCTGCGTCTCTGTGCTGCCAGAGACAAACCTTTGAGGTCAATCATTTAGTTAAAAAATGTCCCTGAGGCAAATATCTAAAGATAAGGAACACATATCACTAGATGTATCTGATGTTGAGTAATAATCTGGATTAAAATCAAATTAAACGTATTAAAATTACAAATCTGACATAAAATATTCATTATAGAGATTATTTTATCTTAAATCTCAACATGTTTATTCATCATCTTATATTAATGTTTTATCACTGACCTCAGGATCAGGATTATAATCCTTGTGTCCAGCAGGTGGCAGCAGCTGAAGGACCAGAACCAGAACCTGATCCAAAGTGGGTTCCGTTAGTCCATAAAGTGGATTCCTTCATAGACCATAAAGTACAGAGCCAGAAGAGTCTCAACATGTGCACATGTGCACAGGAAGTTTKACATGTGAACAGGAAGTTTCACATGTGAACAGATGAGCTGCCACGCCTCAGTGATGCATCATGGGAAGACACTGCAGCTCTGGTTCTGATTGGTTCTGGACCCATCAAAGCATCAGGTTCATAAACCTGCTGTCTGATGAAGTTGGAAATAAAACACAAACTGATTGAATAACTTTCATTTTCTCATTTTTATTGCAGGTAATTACAGAAATAAAGCTTTTGTTTGAATCACAGCTCTACTTTTCAGAATAAATCCTGAAGAGATTAAAAAAATAAAACTTAATTTCAGAAAGTCTGAGCTTCAGACCTGGAAAGAGACGTCTTATTAAAACAAACAACAGTTTGAGTCGTTTCTCCTCCGACTCTGTAAGAAGAAAATCCTTTAGTCCAAAAGTTCAACCCMAACGTGTCAATAATCCAACGTTTTGGTTCAAGCTTTAATCTGAGACGTTAATCTGAGCTGGCCTGATGTAAATCCTGCAACAAGTGGAAAAATAAAACAATCTTTAAAATCTGAAAACATTTAATCATCTCTGCAGAGAAAAAAGTGCAAAAAGCAGAAAAATTCAAGAAGGAAGGCACTGAGAGAAAAACTGTCAACAAACAAACAAACAAACAAACAAACCCTGCTAATCCTGAGAAAAACATCCTGTTATCAACATTC